GTCAATTGGTGTCGCGCCCCCCCACATACCCATGCGACGTCGATTGGCCGGCTTGTCTGATCCCCCCACTGGCGAGCGACACCAATCGACAGCCGTCGCTCGACCCCAACCCTGGCGAGCGGCACCAATCGGATCACGCCTGATTCCAAAGCAGGTAATCCACATCCCACCCGTCTTGTACACATAGCTTGATCCGATGCGTACTTCAATCACTAACAAAGGCCAACAGCCTCAACTCAATCATGTTGATCCAATCCAGTTGCGACGGTATCAGCCATCCGTCCGATGTTTTGATGAGAGAATAGCAGACATCCAAAATACTGACTCCGGCCATCGACAAATGGAAGGGGATGCGCGTACCAACTCTATATAATTACGGCAGATGTACTTTTCGTGAACAACATCGAACATTCACCGTCACCAGGCCTTTGCCGCGAACGACTGGAGATCTCCTGGAGGTATGGCAAGGGTTTGACGAGCCGAGCCTAGTCGATGCGAAGGATTGAACTGCAACTCGAGTAGTTGTTCCGCCTTGGCTACAACTACCGGCATTAGGCTATATGCAGATATCACGTTGATTCTGTTAACGCAGAATGCCAAATACAAGATGATGAAGAGAAGTCTCGTAAGTATATCTTCATCGAGTGGTCATATTCTGATTGCGACTTTTCTGTACAAGGATTTGGCGTGAACGCTCAGATTTGGGGCACGGAAGAGACTCTCCCCAACAGTGGCAAAGTAGCTGTGGGGGCTAAATTGCCGTGTCACCATGGCGCACGTCTTATTCATCCTTCAGTTGCCTTTGTTGGTTACTCCCGGTCCATCGGTAATCTGAGCAGCGCCTCAAATATCACCTAGATCGCCATCTATGTACGCACTTCCGTGCAACCCCTCACCTTCTCTTGATTGCTCCTTCAGACAAGTTTCTCCTTTGGCACAGATAGGCAATGTTTTCCATGTCAGTCTTGAGTCTCGTTGCTGGGCTGGGCCTAGTATTCTCAGCCAATGCTGTTCAATGCTCGGTACGAGCTAGTGACTTTGATTTTGTACGTACAATTGGAATAAGAATCTCCAATGACTCAGGACTCATGCTTGGTACAGATAGTTGTTGGCGGCGGCACAGCTGGTATCGCATTAGCCGCTCGCCTGAGTAAAGGCCTTCCAGAACATTGCATATTGGTCATTGAAGCCGGTCCTGATGGACGTAAAGAAGAACGAATATATGTCCCAGGGCTGAGAGGCACTACCTTTGGCTCCGCATACGACTGGAGTCTTCCAACTGTACCTCAGACTGCAGCAAATAACCGGACCATTGGACATAACCGGGGGAAAGTTCTCGGTGGCAGTTCTGCCCTCAATCTTCTTGTCTGGAACCGCGCTACTGTCAAAGAGTATGATGCTTGGGAGAAGCTGGGAAACCCAGGCTGGGGGTGGAGTAGCATGTATCCTGCGATGCTCAGGACAGAAAATTTCCAGCGCCAAAACGGGTCGCCGCAATATGGCAATGACGGCGTAGGATATGGCGGCCCAATCCAGGTCGCTTTGACTGAGGATCCACCGCCTCATCTCCAGGCTTGCATACCGACCTTGGCCAATCTTGGGATCAAGGAGAATCTGGCATCGTTGAACGGGAACAACTTGGGTACCATGTATCAACCAGCAACATACCGTGTGTCTAGTCATACACGGTCTTACTCGGTGGACTATCTCCCTTTAGCTGGCAACAACCTGGTATTCATGTTCAACACAACTGTCCACAAAGTACAGCTTACAAAAAGTAGCTCCACAGCAATGGGAGTCGTCCTCTTAGACGGTACCTTGATCAAAGCAGCCAAAGAAGTCATTCTTTCAGCTGGTAGCTTGCTGTCTCCCAAAATACTAGAACTTTCCGGTATTGGCCAGAAAACTATACTAGACAAGGCCGGCGTAAAACAGCTCGTCAACCTCCCTGGTGTGGGCGAGAACCTCCAGGACCATCTCCGTATCCAAACTACATACGAACTAAAGCCTGAAGTTCCTGGCGTGGACATTTTAAAATACAACGCAACCCGAGCAGGCATAGAATTGAATCTATGGAGACAAAACAAGACTTCACTCTACCAATACGCCGGCAGCTGCTACGGCTTTCTAAAATGGAACCAAGCACTCGGCAGTGACGAAAAGCTGCTCCAACTCGCCAAATCATCAGCCAACGCATCTAACCCCATCGACCAAAAGAAACTCGCCCTCCTAACCGACCCCGATTCCGGAACCCCCGATCTCGAAGTCATCTTTGGAGACGGCTACATAGGCACGACCGGGTACCCGAAGAATGGAACAGCCGGTTACGGCAAGCAATACGCTACACTTCTCGCAGGGGTCCAGCATCCACTCGCCAGAGGATCCGTACACATTAACGGCTCGGATCCTGCGAACAAGCCGCTTATTGACCCGAGGTATCTTGGAACAAAGTATGATATCAAAGCGCTTGTATCTGCAGCAAAGTACACGCGTAAAATGGCGAATACGGCACCGTTTAAGGATCTCTGGGTTTCTGAATTTGATCCAGGTCTGAGCACCCAGACGGATGAGGAGTGGGAGACGTATATCCGAAATAACGTCTTCACCTTCTATCATCCGCTGGGTACTTGTGCTATGTTACCGAAGAAGGATGGCGGTGTGGTGGATCCACAGCTTAGAGTGTATGGGGTCAGGAATTTGAGAGTTGTGGATGCGAGTGTTATCCCCATGATTGTTTCGGCGCATATTCAGACTGCAGTGTATGGAATTGCGGAGAGGGCAGCTGAGATTGTGGTTGAGAAGTATCGATGAGAGGAGAAGACAGGAAAGTATTCTTGCTTAGATGGAAGCATGAGGACTTGTGGGGACAATGTTCTTTCGAAATCAGTAGATACTGTTGCGTGCCTTTGTCTTTCTCTATCAAATATCTGCAGAAACGTAGTGAGATAGCATTGAATTCAGTTTTACATACATCCAGAACAGACAACATGTGAGTATTTGATTCTTTCACATCAGTTCCTGGTGAAATCTTCAAAGATTACTCAAACAAGCGCCATGTACGTTTCAAATACATTGCTGGTACATTCACGAAACAGGACTTGCACTCGGTACCCCGAATGATCGCATGCAGCAAACAACGGACCAAAATCTGAAGCTCAAATGCAAACTCGTAGCAGAAACCACTCAAAGACCTCAAAACTACAATACGATCTCGCAACTCCAAGAATTGTGATCCTACCCGAGCAACGCATCGTACAGGCATGTTACACCAAACAAAGAAATCAAACTCAAGAACAGAGAAGCCAAAGCCCGACATCCCCCAAACACCTTCGCGCGCCCCCCAAACTCCACATACAAAAAGACACAAGAATGCCCAATCACACACCCACCTCACACCCCCTCCCTCACTTGCCACAAACCTGGCAGCAATACGGCATATTATGCTGAAAACAATACCCCTGCTCCGAGTACGCAGGCGGATACGTATACCTCACGCCACCCTGACCCTGCTTCGCATACACGGCCGCAGCACCCACATGCATACTCGCCCTCAACTGCGCCAGGGCCCTCTGATGCTGATTCACGGCCGTGGTCACCATGGCACTATGCAGACTCAGCATACGCTCCAGATCGTCCGGCTGAATATCCACGCTGCGCATCTGAAATGCATTGTCCGCCTGTTGATTCAGCGTGCGCAGGTTGTTGAGCTGGGCGACGAGCTCGCGGCGGCGCGAGGCCAGGTATGCGTTGTGCGCTTCTAGGGCTTCGATGCGAGCGGTCAGGGTGGCGGTGAGGGCTTTGAGCGACGAGGTTTCGCGTTCCAGCGCGGAGATGCGAGAGGTGTGGTCTTCTTGGAAGTTTTGGAGGCGTCGGAGTTGGGCGGCGAAGCCGAGGGGGATGGTGGTGGGGATGGTGGAGGGGGGTGTCGAGGTGAGGAGGGAGGTGTCGAGGGAGGGGGTGAGGGGGTTCATTGTGCGCGCAGAGATGTTGGGGTTGTGCATTGGATGGATTGAGCGAGTACGGGAGAGGTTGAGGAGTGTGGTTGGGGTGGAGTGTGGTTGGAGTGTTGTGTCGAAAGTGTGATAGGCAGAGCATGTGGTTGTACTGGATGAGACGGACTGCAAAGACTGACGCGTTGTTTGACAACACTGGCGACTAGCTTTTCCTTGACAAACGCGTGGATGGAACTGAACGGCTTAGGCAGCAATGAGTTGGGATTTGATATGACGTAGCGGAGATTAGACAGATGAAAGGAGTCAGTTAGGATGCAAACGGTGCGCTGCTTTGCATCCCTTGGGCACACGGGGCTTTCACTGGGGTCGATGTCCATTTCAGGCAAACCAACTAGAGACAAGTAAGAAACAGAATGAAACTAAAAGCACATGTTGTTGGTTGAGGGCTTGAAAATATAGTGCTAAAGGATTCAAACCAAGATGTATATTTCAAGGTTGGCAGAATCTGAAGCAAGTCATCGCATGTTGTATAGCCAGCCACTTGGATAATACAGATAGACCGACACCAAAAACCTCAAAATCTACTCCAAGAAAAACGTCGTCAAACTCCTCGGCTTCACACTCGCCGTGAAACTCTTCCCGTCAACACTCACACTCCCTACCATCGTATTATTATGCGTATTATCCGCCAAATACGCCGTCGCCTTTGCAAACGCCTTCAGACTACCATTCAAACTAATACGAACATCCCTCTCATAGTGCGCTTCATTGATGACAGGAATCGCAAGTGTCCCGTTGACATTTTCAAAAGCCGTTACTTTCAAGTTTTCAGCAGGGCTGCGCGCGTCAATGCGTACAGAGCCCGGGCGCGCGAAACGGAAGTAACCTGCAAAAGCCCATAGCCGTCGGGAGACCTCAAATGTGTTTCCTTGTAGGCGGACGAGGATGGCATCACTGCCGGATGAGTTGCCTGGGTTATCTTGGGCGCACCACCAGTGGAGGTATCCGGATGTGTGGCTTAGGACAAAAGCTTGGTGCCTATTGCACAATAAGTTTTTTTTTCATTCACTGGCTGATAGAAACACTGCAACTTACATATAGATAGCCCATTGGAGTCCTTCGGCAAGCTGCCCAGTAGTATCCCACGTGGTATTGAAATTGCCACTTCCGTCCGACCACTCTGTCTCCAAATTCGGCTGACCTTGGGTATTAAAAGGCATCTCAGGCATACTCTGGTAGTTGTGCCAAGTAGCGACATCGTACAACTTTCCGCCACCAGCTTGCTCCAGCTCATACAACAGTGTGCGCTGTTGGCGCGCGCCTGTAGCATCGCAGCAGGATACTTGCAGGTCTTTTCGATACTTCTTGACCGTCGGATACAGATATTGTAGGAAGTCCTTGGCCTGGTATCCGTCTGTGTCCATGCTCGCATAGTATACAGGATTGAAATCTGGCTCATTGTACGCACCAATCATGCTAATGTTGATCCCCTTTTCCTCGTACAATTTAACGTATTTTACAAGGTAATCGGCATATGCTTGACGCCAGTCATGAGTGCAGTTGGTCCCTCGTACACCGCAGATAAGACCACCGTTGACGTCTGTGGCACCCGTTTTGAAGCACCCTGGAGCTGACCACGCGTCCGCATAAATGAACAGGTTCGGGTTAGCTTTAAGGGCCTGCTGAGATAGCTTCAGTTGGCAGCTATCGGCAGTGGTATCGTTCGCTCCTAACCCAACATAATCGAATGTGGAGGATGGTGTTGTTGGGCAGCTACCGAGAATTCCGTCTGTAAGGCTCGATCCAACACGGTTACGAAGAATAGAAAGACCTCCGATATTCTCACTAAAAAGGTAATCGCTGACCAGCTGTTGGTTCGAAGGCGAAAGACCTTTAGATCCGGTCTGGTCGCATGCGACATTGAAGGCTCCCGAGCAGCCACCACCAATCATGGTCTGATATCTGACCGTCGCATCAACCGTAACTTGAACGGGCGATTCCTTCTGGGTGTACACCCATGGTTGTGGATACAGTTGTGGAAACGGTTGAGCAATCACGCTGCCTACGGCGATGAACAAAAGAAGGATAGACTTGGCCATTGCAGGTGCTGAAGAATATGGCAGTATTTAGTGCTGCATGCATCTCCTTTTATTCGCTTCGCCCACTTCTACTTCAACCGACGGTCATAGAATTCCGGCCCTACATGACGACATGATGATCATCGTGTGCTCTGATTTATCCAAATGCCCCGGAGGCCTCGGAAGCCAGGATAAAGTGAGAGCAAGCTTGTTCTTTTCAGGCTGTGAGGAGCAACTTCGCACCTGAAACCTCGGTAACCTCCTCTCAGCGATCTAATATTGGGCCGTCGCGGGTCAAGGACTGGGGTAAGACGGGAGATGAGTGGGGATAAAATCAAGCTTTCTCCAAGATGATTAGCGGGAATGATCGGTGGTGGACAAGCCTTCACCGGCTTTAATTCTATTTCCTTGTACTTCATTTTAGCCGGTTGAACTCTACAACGTGCTTTTCGTTAAGCTTACGCAGACATTCATCCTGCTAATTTTACCCAGGCTGCTGGATGATTTACTTGCACTAATGCAATGGGTATTGATTTTGCCTCAACCACAATCTGCTTCTTTCTTATTACTCGACACGATGGATGTTATGCAGTCTTATTCCACCAGTCTTCAATTTCGAATAGATCATTGTCACTTCCTAAGGCTTAGGACGTCATGGATTCTCCAGCTCAACATCTCTTCACTGCCGCGGTGGTCGGTTGCAAATAAAAGCGTCGCAGAATCAAACGTCGACTGTAATTTGATGGCTATTGGTTGACATATTTCCAGAAGATCCGAGGCATCTGGAAGATAGTCCAGGGGGATATGAGTCCCGAAATCTCATTGAATATCATCTGGACGCCTAGAGTACTCACGGCACAAGCAACAGCAAGCCGGTGGGTAGTTTGATTACAATCACTGAACCTTATGATCTTTATCGATTCAATTCACTCGGTGATGACGTATCTGATTTCCAAAGTCAAGAAGATTTTTACCATCCGTCCAAATGGCCTTCTCGTTACCAAAAGGCAAAACTCTGTGTCGTATACTTCCCGGATTCTAGAGCTGCAATTACCTCACCGTCCATAAGGCCCTGTACATAAGCCTCGCCCAGAACTAGGTAGTCTTCACCACAAGGGCGTATCACGAGCGGTGTACTACATCCAAAAACAATCGCAACGAGATCCCCTTTCTGCGTTTGTTCGTTGGGCCCACCGTAGATGTTATCCGGTGCCCACCCCAGATAGCCTTTGTCTGTGGTCATGAATCGTCGTTTCTTGCAGCTGCGATCGAAACAGGAGTACGCTTCGGTGTACACAAATTCAGAAGCATCTGCTGGAATCTCCTCTGAGAAGAAATCATCAAATCGGTATTCGCCAAGCGGAAAGTCCCGCATGCCAGTTCGAAATTGTTCCCAGCGAAAGTAGTATCCTTCCTGGCCGGCTAAGAATTTCCATCCTCTCTCTTTGAATTGTGGACCACCGAGAGCAAAAGTAGACGGAAGATGAAAAATGGCAGAGTGCTGGGGCCCGGATCGGTGACCGTATGCAACTCTGTCGCATATCAGGGCACGATACAAAGCCTCTGCAGTCGCGTTGCGATCGCCGTACACACTCTTCCAGTTTTCTGGAAACACGATGCTTTTTTCACAGCGAGAAAAATACCCTGTTCCACGAGCTGATAGACCAGAGATGGCGTCGATGATAACGCCCGTACATCGTAACAGTAGTCCGCCGTCATCAAATGACGCGTTGTGCTTCCGGTCACCGCTTGCGTGATATGCCGAGTTGTGCCTACATCCAGCGTCACGCGAAAAAAGGTAGGCAGGACCCCAAATTTGTTGATCATGGCGTGTCCACCTGATTCTACCGGGCCACGACCAATCCGCTGCCCACGTAAGGCCTCGAGCAGGACCCCAGGGATTTCCTTCTCGAAGGGCGTCTAAGTTGTCATCAAATCGTATAAAGGCCCTGGCTGCCTCCCTATACACCTTCCATTCAGGCAATGTGTAGTCTGGATTCAAGCCAGTTGCGACAGCAGGAGCCATAAGTCCAACCAAGGCATACACCTTATCCCTCTTATCTGTACAGTCACCCGAGTTTGCAAGATCCAGCAGCCTTTCGAAGTTGAAGTTTGATCCTTTTTGCGCAAATTGTTTGCTGAGAACGGCGAGGTCTTGGTACACGAGATGCAAGCTACTGGTTCGCCATATATGTTGTGTGTAGAGGCCAGTGTCGTGTACAGCCATTTGAAGACATCGGTCTTTTACGAGCCAGAGGTACTCTTGAAGGACAGAGATTCCATCACAGAAAGTTTCCCATGCTATGGTGTGTTGGCCGCATCTGATCCAAGTCGCTGCGGAGCCAACAATCACTTCTTGGATGATCCACAGCCGGAACCAGTATGGGCGATCCATCAGGTCTTGAAGTCCGATCCAATGGGTTCCGCCATAAAAACTTGGATCTGTGTCCAACTGAGTAGCGAACTCAACAATAGATCCGCTCGCCTTGATCTCTGCAAGATCACGTACAAGCTGTATCGCTGCGCTGCTTGAACTGCTCTCCTCCCCTAGCCACGATATGACTGACCATGCACTTCCGTAGATGTCACGCATCATCTTGATTTGAGCAGATCGCTCCTCGAGGTCGTCCTGGTTGATGCAAAGCGCATCAACCCATAGCTTGAATTTGTCGTTGAATTCACACCCGCTTTGAAACATGCGTAGGGCTGCTTCCAGGTTGGCAGTTACGGATATTTCATGGCCATTGAGCACTATGGTTTGCTTATTTTTCTGGTCACCCCAAACATATGAGAGGGCAGCAAAGTCTCCCCAATTGAAGCGATAGAGACTGGGGCTCGGTCGAGTACTGTGCATCCGTTTTAGAGGAGCAAGATTGGCCAGCTGCGGGGAGAGCCGACTACTTGTCCAGTTTTGTGTGGTAGGCGCAGTGAAATCATGCATAAATTCGAGGTAATCTGAATTAATATCATCGAGAGAGTATATTTGCAGGCGGCAGTGTACAGGCTGTGAGTGGTCTTTGACTCCAGGCACAATACTCAGAAGCCGTATCTCGCGATTTTCCGGAGTGAGATTGTGATAAATTGGCTCTATCCTTGAACTTCTGTCAGATACTTGAAGCGCACCATAGTATGCGGAGGGCTCCTCGGCCGATGCGTATGTTGAAGAACCAATGTCAATGAAACCACGGCGGGGGACCGTCAGGTTGACGGTTGGACTACCCATACTAGACTGCGAGGAAAAGCTCATAATTAAATCGCATTAGAACGAATGCATTTCTCCTAGTCAGATGTAAATGTTTCGGGCTGTGATTCGGTCTGAACTGCTATTGCATACAGAATGGAGTCTTCGACGTTCCAGCTGCCTAAATCGCCTGCTCAGCTGAAGACTTGGCGAACGCGACCAATCAATATCCGAGGCGTTCGCATCAACCTGTCAACAGCCAAAAAATGCATGATGGAGTTGCGGGCGGCATCATAAAGTTGGTGCAATAGGAGCGCGCGGAGTGGTCAAGGTGAAGGTCGGATCAGGTGTTTTAGTGATGCAGCACCATCGGACCCTGAAAAACCACCGAACTCGTGCCTCGGAACGGTCTCGGGAAGTCGCGTCATTGTATGTTCATGTTTGTACATACATATACATGCGCATCCACCACCACATTCTTTACTCCACATAGTCGCTTGGAACTGAAACTCTTGCGCCCCTCTTGCCTTTGCGCATTAGACTCTTGTTTCGGCGACTGACTCTGCTTCCCAGCACACCATGTCTAAGCTATCGCCATCCCTCAAGTCGCTCATCAACGCCGCACACTCGCGCCCAGGCCCCGTGCCGGCGCCCGCAGGAATCCAAGGCATATACAACCGGATAGAAAAAGAAGCCACAGACCGCAAGCTGGGACGCCCATCATGGCTCAGCATATCCACAGCCGCAACAATGACCATGAACTCGCCCGAATCCATGATTGCCCTCTACCATAGCTCGAGCAAATCACGCCCAGAAAGTGAAAGCGTTGCAATCGCGGAATTTATGCGCGAAATCGGCCTCAAGTGTATCGGTTTCAACGGCGTAAGTAATCTAATCCGGGTCCAAAAGAAAGCATGTTAACACCCCCATAGATTCCCCGCACAATCAATATGCTAAACGCCTTCCGTGCGGCTCTCCCAGCCTCAGTTGCATCATCGCTGAATAAAACACCTACGCGCTTTCCCGACCCCTCCAACGTTGAGCAAATAAACAAGCGTGGTCGTGAACTCTGGAACGCAATCTACCGCCCTCTGGAAACAAAACTTGAACAGAAGCTTGGAGAAGCGCACCCGGATTTACCCGTCTTCATCATAAACAGCGAGTACGGAGGCCTCTTTACCGATCCCCCGCGCAACCAAGGTGCAACCGTAGGACGCATCACGACGAGCTTGATTGCTATAACGTGTTTGAGAGCGCAACAGGGTGTCGGTCCACAAGTACTCAGCCATGTCTTCGGATTGAGGAAATCATGGGAAGATGGAACCTGGAAGCAAGAACCCGAAGCAGGCGAGGAAGAAGGAATCAAGTGGCTAGTTAGTGACGAGGGATGTACATGGGTGTTGGAGAAGGTGGATGAGCTTGTACAAGAATTGGGTGGTGGACAGGGAAGCACTTTTGCGCCTGTCAAGGCGAAGTTGTAAGGTTGAGGAAGTATGTGGATTGTTATATATATACCCCGGTATCGTTGACTCGACATCTCTAGCTCGTATGCATATGTAACTCATGTTTTCCTTCACCCACTTCCAGAAATGTTGGCATTAAATGGCTCAGCAATGGAAACCTGACCCGCTGCTGCTGTATCCAGCCCAATATTCGTGTTCAGCTTCTTAGTTTCTTCTGCAAGCTGCGCTGCTACATCTTGTCCCTGCGCCTGTTGAGCTTGCAGCTTGATTACGGTGGCCGTGAGTTTGAGGACTTTGTTCTTGATTTTGCCGTTCTGGTGAAGTGTTAGCATGAAGGAACTGGACGGAGAGGACTTATGAAAAGGACAAAGGGAAGAAAGAAGATATGACTGACCTGAATCTGTGTAGCTGCATCTCCACTCGCCGCCTCGACTGCCGGATTAAACACCTCCTTCTCGGCATCATTCGCAACCTGATTGACCTCGTTCAGAAAGGTCAAGTCCGCCTTATTGATATTCTTAAGATTCTGAAGGTCAAGTGCGGAAAAGCGAGCTGCTGCTTCTGCTTTTGCATTTCCGGCTTGGCCACCAGAGATGGAGATGGCATTATATGTTGTGTCCTTGAGTACGGCCCCGGCTTGTCGTGGTACGACTACAGGTGCGGCGAAGCTGAGCGCGCTGAGGGAGAGGATGGCAAGAGGTGTGAAGTACATGTTGGAAATATATGAACCGGCAAAAACAAGTATCTGTGTCTGGAAAAGATAAAATAGAAAAATGTAGACAGCACAGCTGAACCAGCCAATGACAAATGACAGATACAAGAAACAAACGATCGAGCCTCAAGCCGATTTCGTTTAACCAAGGAAAAAATATGCTTGAACGATAACAAAGAAAACTTAAGAAGAAGGTATCTTTCATGCGTTTTTGTACGCCCACTTCTACTCCCCAAACACCTACCTTCCGCAATCCCATCCTCAGGCTCCTCCTTCAATGCCGCGCAGCCTAAGCAGCCTAAGCAGCCTGACACAAAACACCATCTCAGACACCCCTCCCCCCTTGACTCGCGCCTCGGGAAACGGCTCGCTAGTAGAGCCGCAACACCCAACATCACTTGCCTAACATCCACCTTTCGGAGAAATTTACTATTGGAAATGAAAAAATGGGCGTCTGGATGGGGTTGCGCAAACACGATACGTCGCCAATCGGTTCCTTCGGGGCCGAGAAGGGCAAAGTTGCCGCTTTCCGGGGGTTGCTGAAACTACTCCCGCCCTGTCAGACCCGTCAGGTTTGGGGAAGGGGAATGCAGTGGTAAATGCAATGCGGGCTTGGCGAAAAAAAAGGCTTAATAAGTTGACCACTTGACACAGTTTGCTGCAAACTACATATATCGAGAAGAAGCGCAGAAAATACATATTACACGAAATGGCTAGATATATGTATTTAGACATTCTTTGTTTCATTGATGCTTATACGGAGTGAAAAAGAAAAAAACGAGGCATTGTCTTAGTTTCACCTGTCCGATTTCTATTTTATTAGGCGTATAACACATATACACATTTCTCATGGACGCACAACGAGACTTTTTTTTGAAAAGCACATTTAAGCACCTCCATCCCGTCCACTCAACATGGCTCCCCGTTTCCTCATCCTCTCCTCAACCATCCTCTTGCTATACCGCGTCGCATTGCCACTTCCCTCAGTAAACAGCGCACTCGCCTTCTCGTAAACCGCATCCGTGTAGCCGGACTCCGGGGCCGACCAATCCATGGTGAAGGCGCTGACGCTGATGCCGCCACCGGCAACAACCCATGTCTCGTCGGGAAGGCTGGTGTCGCCGTTGTACTGGGCGTTGATGCCTGCGGCGAGCGGGTTGACGTTGTCCCAGGTGAAGAGGCCGGTGGTCTCGTTGTACACGGCGACATCCGTGTTGGCGTTTCCTGTGAGTCTTGTTTTGAAGACGGGAGGTGAGCTTGTGGCATTGGCGAGTTCGGGGATGTTGACGTTGACGCCGTAGCCGAGCGGAAGCACTTTTTGGCCGGCAGGCGTGTTCTTGATGAATTCGTTGACGATGCCGAAGGTTGCCTTGGCGGCGACGGCGGCTGGGTGCGAGGGCCCCGTTACGTTGAAGTAGGGGACGGCTCTGTTGCTGGCGCTTGTGGCGATGCCGGGGATGGAGCGCGAGATGGCGGCGAAGGTTGAGCCGACAGTGCCGCTGAGGGCCATGACGAAGGGGCCAAGGTTAGTGCCATAGTTGGGGCCTGCAATGAAGAGGTCGGCGGTTTGCTTCCAGTCAGGGTAGTAGCGGGGGAGGACGTAGTCGAGGGCTACGAAGGTGCATGCTGCGGGTGTGCCGTCGTAGTACCAGATGTTATCGTCGGTGGGATCACGACCGACTGATGGGGCGCCTGCTGGGATAATGTTGTACTGTGATGGCACGGTGAGGTTGGCGGTTTCTGCCCAGATGACCGTCGTGCCCTTTCCGGACTGCTGTTGAGCGGGTGCAACAATGAGCACTATCCCGTACCGTCAGTGGTGCCTACAAACAGCGATTTAAAAAAAAAACTCGCCTTCATGACCCGCATCAACCAGCATCTTATACAACTCCCTCAGATTTCCGCTCCCAAACCCATCATCGTTCCCCATGAGAATCTTCAGCGCATCCGCCGACGCCGCAAGACCCAGCGCCGCCGTCAGCGCCGTACTCAATTGGAACCGCATCTTGAACAATGTGACAAGCAACACAAGCTCTAGGCACAAACGACACAAGCTCAAAGGCTTCGTATGGACACAAGCAAACAGCCCGCCCAAGCCTCGCTTTTATATCCCCTCATTCTCCATCTCCCAACCACCCTCTCCCGCGAACCCGGCTCAGCTACTCTATCCACCTACGCCAAAAACACACTGGCGGCCATGGTCGCTGCAGGAACCACCGACGCGGCGTGCCCGATACCGCGGGAAAAACACACCTTTTGCCTTCTCACCTGCGCTCGTTGCGCGCCGTGATTCGGTGTTGATAAAGGGCAGGTTGCAGGGATAGGGTTAATTGGGTCGGCTAGCACAGATGCGGCAGGAGCAAATGCATTGGGGACTTGTGGCGGAATATCGGGGGTCGGCGAGAGGGACGTATTGGGGAATAGATGACGGGCTGCGTGCATGGTGAATGGGGGGTAATTCCCCGCGATTAGAGCCGCATGCCGTGTCCCCGTGGAAAGATGGACATTTGGTCGGGCGAATTGGTTGGACTAAAACGGTTCATAGAGCTTGTGTCTAAGTAGTCAAGCATCATATCCTCTCTGTTCCCACGGTGTCCAGCCCAGTCAATGATTTTGACAAAACTTCTTCTTAATACACTATGCTCGTAAAAGTTCCCATCTTAAATAGCCAACCTGGGTATCTCCCACAATGAGTACTACTAGTAGAGTACCAAATCTCACGCCCTTCAAGACCTCAATTGCTTTTGTTGGATCCTCCAAATCTCCCATGTCGCGCCGTACAATGCCATCAAATTCCAGAATAAACGCCATCCTGTTCTAATACGTGTAGTTGTTGTTACCTCCATATTCCATGCCCGCCTCGTCACCTAGATGGTCGACGTGCATAAACTCGTCAATGGAAAATGGATCCGGCATTCCTGCATTCATAGAAATTTCCATTCCATCATGAGATTGCTGTGCCTGACCCATGGGCTGGCTCGGCGGTTCCAGACCCTCGATGATACGCGTACCCTTTGGCACAGAGGCCCCAAAAGCGCCGATGCGATCGGGTTGGGGAATACCACTCCCTTTGCCCTTGCCTGTTGCGTCTCCGCGGGCGTTCATCCAGATACCGTTACCTCCCTCGCCATTCTTGACGGCCTTGGTAAAGGGTTCCTGGAAGATGAGACTGGTTTCATACCAACGCCCCTTGATGTCGTCGATATCCAGCTTGTATGAGGGCTGGATGAGTTTCCACCATGCAGCCGTGCGGGTGGCGGGTACGAGCAAGCGGTTGCGCCATACCATGTCGTGCACCATGCGAGAGGGTATGTTGGGATTCTGTTGTGGTGGCTTTGGAGGAAGATTCGGGTCTGGAGCATCCAAAGTTGCGTAGCTATACACATCGCCCACTGCAATCACCTTTGGATTTGGCTGATTGGGGGGTGGGTTGGCGAGGACTTGTTCGATAATGTCCGTGATGACCATGAGATCGCTTCCAGTGGCGCCTATCCGTAGACGAACGGGCTCGCCCCTCCAAATCTTCTCTGCACCTAGGAATATGCCGTTGTACTGTCTGAACTCGTTCCCCTTGTCATCCTTCGAAGTCTTCAAGTGCTCAAAGAGTGTATATGTGGTATCAATCGCCTTGGCTGCAAGGATAGATGCATCAACAGAGGCAATGCCTTCACCACCTTGTCCATTGATGAGTGCTCTCCAATCAGTGTTGCCATACTCAAACTGTGGGTTTTGCTGCAGAAAGGGAAATGTGCAGCTAGGCGCAGACCAAGCTAGCCACGGCTTGATGTGCTCATCTGTGTGTATAATCTCCTGTGGAAGGGACTCGAATGGATGCGAGAGCGGCTGAACTAGATACGATCTGTTCATGGGGTTCTCTGCCAGAGCCCATCTTTGCACAACAAGTCCAAGACCCCAGGCAGATGTCTTGGGCCGGAAGAACCACACCACCTCGCCTGTTCGACACAGGAACTTGTTATAGGTGAGATCCACTTGTTGCTCGAGTGACCTTGGTTGGGGGAGGAGCGTTGATTGTAATGTCGGAGGAGGCCGAATCTGCGGCGCACTAGGAGTCGACGTCTGTACAGGTACAGGTGTGGCTGGCTTGATGATGGGGCTTGGAATTGGTGCGGTCATGGAGGTTCGATGTACAGGTATTTGTACGGCGGGATTCCGGCCCACGACATTGCCGTTATTGGTGTTTGGAGCAGTCCCACCGGAGCTGTTCTCTCGCTTGAGAGGCACTGGCTGCTCTTGCTTGGCCTCGACCTTGGGCTGAGGCTTCTCAACATCGCCCGCTGGAGAGCACATTTTGCATGTACAGTTGGTCATATCGCTGTTCTCGTCGGTACACAGCCACAGCAGATGAGGAAAAAATTCGACGGGGCTCCTGAAGCGCTTCTTAGGGCCCTTGGGATAGCCATAGAGGTAGGCATCCTGGCGATCGTGACCGCCGCCAGAGTGGTTCTTCACCGTCTTAACCTGGCCGTCCGCCTTTGTCTTGATGTGCTCGTACAGGACATAGTTATCGGGTAGCTCCCACAGAATGCACTGCTGCCACTTGTCTGCCAAAAGTCAGCCTTCTGCCGCCCGCTAGCCCGCGTGGCTTCCTCTTACCCTCATACTGCTTGCCGCCAATCTCGCGCAAGAGCATACCGCCCAGCTTCTTACGCCAGTCTTGGTGTTTGGGATCATCCTTCTCGATCAGGCGGTAGAAATCACGCTGGCCCTGGTCGTTGGGCGACATGTTCAGCTGCTCTTCGGTCGGCCCGTTGCGTATGGGCCTGCCTTTGATGTTGACGACATGCTGTCCGTCCGACTTGGAGGCGAATATGGGCCAAAATGAAGTCATGGGCTGCTGCGCCATGATGAGCGACGGTAATGCGCCGGCTGCGCAGGGCTTATGGGATTCTTTGCTGGGCGTAAGGAGACATGCAAGAAGGGTTTCGCGACTGCATGGCGAGATGCGTCGGATTTACTCGGCTTTATGGACAGGCGCGCTAAGACGCGTTCACCTCCTCTACCAACTTCGAAGTCGCCCCCAGAGGCCTTGTTCAATCTCCAAGTACTCGTTGGTGTGCGAGACGCTCTTTTTGGACATGCCCTTCATCGGCAAATTCACTGCTCACCGTTCATCGCCTCGATCGGGACTCTAGATCCATTGCTCTGTAAACTTTGCTTTGCAGAGTTACTTTTTCCGACATCACTGACCCTTACATCTGGCTTATCTCAGAATCCTGTTTCACTTTGGGATAGCAGGTTATATAAGACGTTGCATCTTTCGTCATGGCTAGAAAATCCGTTGTGATATTGGGCTCTCCCCAGCCCATTACTCCACCTCCAAAGCGACGAGGTGGCCAATTGCAAGATCTTCTAGCGCAGTTTGGATCCCAGAGCTCAGTTGAGTCAGCGACCAAGAACAGGCGATTGTCGACACAGCAGAAGAGTGAAGAAATAAAGCCGATTCCCATCCGGGACAGTAGAGGCAAACGCAACCCACCGCCTCAAACGGCGCAACACGACGTCACCTCGGATTCATCGGCAGGAGAGCAGTCACCTATGACTTCCACAAGAACTACTCGGCAATCGGTTTCAAAGCCAGTAGACCCAGATCCAGAAGACAGCCAAGACGAACTCGCGCCATCGGCCCGCCCCCGCAAAACGAGTGCGAGAATATCGGCATACACGGAGGAGCTTAAGATGGAAAAGCGCAAGAGAGAAAAGGAAAGGACAGACGGACTGCGAAGGGGTACTCGGGACCGGAGGAGCGTCATCCTGGAGTCTGATACTATAACCATAACTACTTCATCTCGGCGGCGGAAATCAGCGCCACCCCCTTGCAAACTCGACACCGCTCGCAATCGGCTTCGCGATGACATTGCCAAAGGCACCAGGGCGAGGGCGAACAGTTTTCTTGTCGCCAACAGAGACTTCTTTCTGCCACTTCTGCCCAAGAACAACTATGTCACGAAGCTGGTAGAAGAGGGCAAAGCGCAACCTATCGTCGAATACCAAGAGCTCAAGGAGCAACCCAAGGGAGTTACAGCCGTCATGAAACCTTACCAGCTGTCTGGCCTGTCGTTTCTTGTTCACCTTTACAACAACGGATTCTCTGGTATACTCGGTGACGAGATGGGTCTTGGAAAGACGTTGCAGACTCTTTCTCTGTTTCAATATCTGGAAGAGCTCGATGAGCAGAAGGGCATTGTGTCAGAAGAACCCCGTCCATACCTCGTTGTCTGCCCGCTGAGTGTGCTCAACTCTTGGGTAACGGAAGCTGAAAAGTGGGTGCCACAGCTCAGAGTAATGCGGTTCCATGGTGCTGTGAATGAACGGACTCGTCTTAAGCGGGTTGCGGCTGGTTTAGAGGATATGAAAGGAAACGAAACCTCACGCGCACGAGATCGGAAGGCATTGCGCAAGGCCGGCCAAAAGCTCTCCAAGCTGCCTGGCCCTTCTGGCTCTTTCAAGATCGTCGTGACGACCTATGATGTCTTTCAAGCCGAGCAATCTTGGTTCAAACACTCTTTCGCCTGGCGTTATGTTGTTCTGGACGAAGGCCACAAGATCAAAAACAGCTTGGCCCAAATCTCCACCGCGTTGAAGAGTATCAATGCCGAGTACCGACTGATCCTGACGGGAACGCCACTTCAGAACAACATGGTTGAGATGTGGTCACTTCTGACCTGGTTATACCCTGCCGTCTTCGACGACAGGACTGAAGCACTATTCCGGGAGTCATTCGATCTTAGCAAAGGCAAAGCAAACAAGCAGACTATGACAGATGCCCGGCGCTTGCTCGAGCTAATTATGCTGCGCAGAATGAAGGATTCTCCATCAGTCAATCTCGGTCTGCCACCCAAAGAAGAGGTGCTCCTTTACGTGCCCCTTACGCCGATGCAGAAGTTCTGGTATACGCGCCTTTTGACTCGTATTGATGATGGCATGCTGAATGAACTCTTTGCCGATGGCAAGAAGAAAGAGAAAGCTGCCATTGAACACGATGTCCAGGAGAACAAGCTATTGCAGCAGCTGGAGGAGATGGACAAGGTGATCAGCACTGGCAGCGTTGGAGATGAGTGGGAGGAAACTGCAAAGATTTTGCAAGAAGCTGTAGCGAAAGAACAGGCTGATGCCAACGCTTCAAAAGGAGCTTGGAAAAAGCTCATGAATCTCGTTATGCAGTTGCGCAAATGCTGCTCTCACCCATACCTGCTTCCAGGAGGAGCCCCAGACCCATACTACCTTGGTGATCATGTCATCCGCGCTTCCGGCAAGTTCATTCTATTGGAGAAACTCCTCAAGCATACGGTCTTTGAACAAGGCAAGAAGGTTCTCATCTTCTCAGGATTCACTCGCACACTCGACTGCTGTGAGGACCTGCTGTCTCTTGTCAGCAACTACGGTGAAAAATTCAAGTATCTTCGCTTGGACGGAAGCACGGCCAGGGCTCGTCGAAACTTGGATATCCGCCTTTTCAATCAGAAAGATTCGGACTACAAGGTCATGCTTCTTTCGACCCGCGCGGGTGGCTTAGGTATCAACCTTACCAGCGCTCAGGATGTCATATTTTTAGATGAAGACTGGAACCCACAAATTACTCTCCAAGCCGAAGCGCGGGCTCATCGTATCGGACAGACCAAGAAAGTAACGATTTACAAGCTCTGTACCCAGGGGACTGTCGAAGAGCAGATGATGGGTCGCATTCGGAAGAAGCTCTATCTCTCTGCAAAGATTACTGAGTCCATGCAGAACGTACATGGCAAGCAAGCAGTCGCGAAAAGGTCAGCGGGACGCCCTTCCATCGACGAAGACATGCCCCAAATGGACACATCGCAACTGATGACACTTGTACGGCGAGGTGCACAAACACTCTCACATCCTGAGATTGACGTCAAAGAAATGGTTTCCTGGGATCTGGAGACAATGATGAAGAAGTGCCGTGACCAGTCTGCCGAGTTGACTGACACGACACAGTCCGAGATTGACGAAGACAAGTGGCTTTCAACCATGGAGCGCGTCGAATGCGCCGTGTTTGAAGGCAAGCGTCACCAGCGTAACCTCGATAAAAGCTCCAGTGCAGATACCTCGTCTAAGAATATCCTACCAGAAACGATTACTCGGGAAGACCGCCGCACGAACAAGAACACTACAGTCATGGTAAACGGCTATGCTATCAATAAGGAGTCCATGAACTGCGGAGACTGGGAAGCCGTGCCAACTTTCGCCGGTAAAGACCCGCGTCTTGCTGAGCCAGTCCGCGAAAAGCGACGCGAGTTCAACCACGAAGATCACTGCCTTGAATGCTTCGAAGATGCCGATGCTGGACAACTCTTCGAGTGTAAAACCTGTCCCCGAGTCTACCACTTTGACTGTCTCGACGACCACTATCAGGGCAAAGTCAAGGGCCCTTTCAGTGGCTTCCATTGCCCCCAGCACAACTGCACCGACTGTGCAAAGACCACAGCAGACGCTGGAGGTCTCATCTTCCGATGCCGCTGGTGTCCTCGGGGCTACTGCGAGGACTGTCTTAACTGGGACAATACCGAGCTTATCGGTGAAAATCTGCCTGAATTCGAGGTCTTGGGTGAACATGCTATGTCAGGTGGTTTTTACGTCAAATGCCCGTCTTGCGTCGAGTCGGCCAAGGAAGACCCAGAGCAAAGGGCGTGGATCGAGGAAAAGGAAAAGACATATAAGGAGGAGCATGCTGCTTGGTTGCAGGAGCATGAAACGGCGCAGAGTGTCAAGATTCAGGATGACGACGAAGTTAGCATGCCACCGGGGCTTACTGATACCTCGCTCTCGACTTCTGGGCTTGGTGATTCTGGAGTCACTACGCCTGATGGAACGGACACACTGTTGCCAATCCCTACGGTTACGAAGAAGAGGAGTCAAATGTTCGATGAGACTGGTGACAAGAAGAAGAAGACCAGGCGTGGCGTGTAGGGTTGGCCACTGGTCTCTTGATTACATGGCATTCATGATGTGCGAAAATAGAATTGCTGAAATGCAAATGCGCTGGTTCTTCAGTTGCATTTGGACTACCAATGGTCATCTCACAGCACCAGGTGGCGTTACAACTCTGGTTGATATACCCATAGAAGTTTGATGGCTTTTTTCTTTTCTTTTGCTACGGCTGTCTCACGTGACGAGTCGCGCAACATGTACATTAGATTTACAATAGTTAATGATCTTTCGTAAAGGCATTTATTACGCATGCTTCTTTGAATCTTCAGTCCTTGCCATCCTCCGTCATCCGCCCACGAATCTCTCCCACAAATTTCGCTCGACCCTAATATCATTTAACACTCACCTTCAAAAATCGCTGCAATACGCACCTGCCTTCGCTACTTCTCATCAGACCCCTCTTTCGTCCCTGAACACCGTCAGGCACCTGCACATCACTCCTGTTGAGAAAACCCCACTAACCAAACATACTCCCCCCACCACCCCCTCTCCTCCCACCCCTCAACGCCTCCTTTACCAACCACTCCCTCAGAAACTCCTTATTCCGCATCTCCTCAGGGCGCGTCAACCTCGTATCAAACTGCGCTTCCTGGCGACTAAACGCCAGCAACGTCGGCATACTACTAATCTGTCCCCTTTCTGTTAGCCTTTCCATCCCCATCCCCTCTCCAACCCCCTCTTCCTCTCCGCCCAAATCCGTCCCAGCAGAAAAAAAATAAAGAAAAAAAAAAACTCACCCGATACCTAATCGGCAAATCCTCAATCAGCACTGAATCCATCATAACCTCCACAAATCCCAGCCCGCCCTCCCTCTCCCCCACTTTCTCTTCCTCAATCAATTTTCGCAACAGAGGCTTAATAGCTTGGCAGGTTTGGCACCAGGAGGCTGTCCAGAAGGTGATCAGGGCGCGGTTGTCGGCGGCATTGAGGAGAGTCAAGGTGTGCAGGTCGTTGGGTTGGCGGATGGGGTCGAAGATGCGATTTGTGGGGGGACGCGAGGAGGGGAAGAGGGAGAAGGGGCGGGCGGTTGGGAGGGAGAGGCGGAGGGTGGAGGGGCGGAGGATCATTTTCTTGGAGGGTTGAATTGGGAAAAGTGGTCGTGTTAGCTTGTTGGTGATGTTATTATTGTTGTTGTGCTTGTGTGGTTGGAGAATTGGGGATTGGTTGGTTCGCGGTGACGCGTGGGGACTGGGGATGATGTCATAAGTGCCAAGATTTTAGAGGATGGTCGCGCTTCCACGTGGTGTGCTTGTTCTGCTCTCCTTGTCTCGCATGTTCCTGGCACGTGTCGTAACGTTAAGAGTGGAGTTATGCATTTGAAGGAGATGGAATTCTAAAAGAGTATTAGGCATACGAGATTGGAAATTCGGAACTACTGACATCCTTCCCTGGGCCAGGCACCAGTTGTTAAGTCATGTGTAAGCGTTGGTCAGACCCTAATATCCTTGGTTCTTCTTCACAAAGAGCATCGGAGACAGATTTTTCGATGATTGGCGCTGTGTAGCTTATAGCCGGTATTGCAGTTCCAAACCAGACCGGAAGGACGATGAATACCCCAAATGGTGTGAGGGAACCTACGCCAACCCCAAGAGCAAGACAAGCACCGTTGACACCCCAGCCAACTGTTGGCAAGGTTACGGCGCCCGACACCATACTTGCGGTTGTGCGCGAGCATATGCGATTGGGAACATTGTTAGCAACACCGTGCAAAAGTCCACTCGGTGCTGCTGGGAGATTAAACTCAACATAAGGCTTGCCCTTGTACTTCCTTCCTTTGACTTGAAATGGCTGAAGGCAGTCCGGGAAATGTAAGGGCTCCTTGATGGAGATGCGGCCCCAGGCGGGGATCAACAAGTGGAAGATGACATCTTTTCCACATTGTGCCCTGACGCATTGCATGTACTGACATAAAGTGTCTAAGTTATCTGACTTGGCACAAAACGTAGGCGGAAGAGGGTCTTCTCGAATCAGTCGACGGAATGCCCCGTACCAGTTTCTTCTTTGATGAAATCGTAGACGGGCTTAGCAAAACCGTCAGGGCCTCCGCTGCCTGACACAGCAATGCTGTTGCTCTCGCCGAGATGATCACTTATTCCGGCCAGGATCTGGATTGCCTTGTTTCTCTGGGCGATTTGAATAGCCGAGGCGGTTTGTGCCCAACGTCCGTAATAGTCGATCCGATCGACAAGCGACTTCACAATCACGTGGATTCCTTGGACTTGTCGGACAGCACGGCCTGCTGAATCGGTAGCCCTTCGCATGTTCTCAGCTGCAAACTGGGCACTTGTTGCCACTGCCTCGGCGCTTAGACGCGCTGAACTAGAAGCAGCCTCATTCAATACTGAAGGTCTTGTATTGGTGTTGTTGGCCGATATGATGTTTCTGATTATACCACCCAATTGGGAGAAGAACGTCACCTCCGGATATCCGCAGCGAGTACCGATCAACCCCAAGATTTCAGGTGACTGTTGTATAAGGTATGGTAGCATCGGCGCAATCCTCTCCATGCATTCTTTGGGCAACTTGATGAACGCATCATGGAGAAGGTTGACGTACGCCTCGTGAAAGGGTAGGTCCGGATAACGCTCCTTTATCAAGTTTTGTAGTTCGACCCAGTCCGCAAACGCCGCAGCATCCATCTTAACGTTTTGGAACTTCTTAGGCCAGTTTAGATAACAACTAGAGATAAACACTGATGCAAGATGTAGGCAGTAGACGTTAAAAAGTAACCCGAAGAAATGTGATACGATACAAGATCGAGTTCAAAGACCAAGGGTCGACTCACAATCGAGCTGGTGGGAAAAAAGCCAAAATCCAATCGCTGTATTGTATTGAGTGGAGAAGGTAGTCTATCTATTCCGAAAAGGAATCCCCAGTAGTATATATCTGCAATCTGATCACGTGATACAATACCGCAGTACGCCCAAATCTATGGTAAAATCCTTGACAAAACTAGACACTACACAATACAACACGCGATACGCCTGCTAAAAAAGCGTCTTCCACAAAGTAGGAGCAGAAAAACAACATGATAGGTAGTGCTTGCCGTGGTTATGCAAGGTGATAATGCTGTGTTACATGACCAATCTTGGTCAGCCAGTCAATGAGTAGCATGTAGATATTCCCTGCATAACCCTACACCACCTCTTCAATCTCTTCGTATCGCGAAGCGCGCGCCATGTTTGCTTATCATTATCTCCAAATTCTCTAGTTACGAAGTATTGTGACATTGCTTTGGTGGGGAGACTGCGCCGCTCGGTGGTGAATGAAACACGTTAACCCTAACCACAACCACAACTGTAACTATAGAGCACCAATTTGGCTCCGGCCTTTCGGGAACGTTTTTGTGAAACAAAATTTCGGGATTTATTAGAACTAGTCATACAGGTATTC